GGGGCAACTTCGTCAATTTCTCTCTTCTTGTAAAGTTGTAATTATTTTAATTATTTTTATTTCCAAACTGATTTTAACCAGTTCTATAGTAAGGTAACATTCCAATAGACAATATGCAAAGCTTTTTTTTCAGTTTACAGCGGTATTTATTACACAAAATTTAAGTAAAGCTTAACATGCCGATCTTGCCCCGGTCTCCCCTAATATAACATAAAAACCTCAAAAACAATGAGCAAAAAAGCGAAAAATAGCAGAAACTAAAAATACTGCAGTGTGGATACGAAACTAATGCAATGCTGCTATCCAAACAGGAAGTAGCCGATAACTCAATAAGGAAATGAGCATTTAAGACGAAAACTAACAGGAAATAACTTACATTTAACTTTCTTACTAAACACAGAAAACTGTATCTAACCTAACCTAAGAAAACTCTGATTTATTAAGCTACTAATGCCCCAAGGAAAATACTTAGTCTAATTTATTGAAGATACTAGTTTACATCAACCAAAACAAAAGATAAAAACTAATTCTACGAGTACAAGCGGAGATCATAATAGAGAGGTTGATGCGCACGTTTTAAACGTGTAAACGTGTACGTGTGACGTTCGGCGCCTCTTTCCCGTAAGCCTAAAAGTTTCACAATGGTGTTTGGATAGTCGGTGGAATCACTCTCGACACCATCGTCACACTTTTAGGCTTACGGGAAAGCGGCGCCGAACGTCACACGTACACGTTTACACGTTGAAAACGTGCGCCTCAACCTCTCTAATAACTTGAATTTAAATAAAAAATCGACAAGTTTCTGCTAGGTCTACACACTTGTAAAAGAGAAACCATCTAAGCAAAATTGAAGAATCAACTATCAGTCGACTCCAGTAATAACTAATAAACCAGTAATAAATAATAACCAGTAATAACTAATAAACACAAAACAGAATGAAAACCACGGAAATTTTTGTGTGTACCGTTTCGTACCGCCCGCCCAACTTATCTTCATCAAAGAAAAACTAATAAGAGATTTTCCCCTTTATAAAAGTTGTTGTAACATTTTACATGGCGCAATTGTTTATATCTCAATTGTTTTGGTTTGGATTATTGCTTTTCAACTACCACTAACTATTTTATATACGAAAGTAATTTATACAGATTAGCCGTTTATGGTAAGGGGTGTTTAGAAGGTAAACTGACGTAATTTTGTTTTAAAATTATTGACATACGACACAGATAATGTATCAATCTGAACATTTAAATAGAGTAGACCCCCTATAACAGGGTAGATATGTTCCGTTTTATATGAATTCTGTGTTTTACGAGTCACTTAAATATATGAGCCAATCACAGACCGGCACGTGTGCAGTTTAGGGACTACGGCTGTTTGAAAGGTTTTCTTTTATAAAATTACTCGATTCTAGACTAATTTAACTCAACATTTCCAAATCACGTATAATTTTTTGGGAATAATCCATATAAACTATGCTATAAACAAACAATTGTAGGATTACTTACCGAGTGCACACCGTTCGACGACACCATTGCTTAAGCTTGTTTCCGTCGCGGAGCGGCGCATCGAACGGCAAAGCGCGTGTTCTCTGATAAATTATTTTTCTGCGAAAAATTTGCTGAAGTTCGGAGACATCATTAATATAAATATAATTTTTATGGCCGTTAAATAATAAATGGTTTTTAGTAGGTCTGCTGCTCGTTTAAACTCAACGGTTTGTGCAATATCCGCTATTGGTCTAGATTCAACCAATTCTGTCGCGACACGAGTCGGCGATGACGTTTTACCGTATTATACGAGTCTCTTTTAGCGTGTTTATAGGAATACGGTCGCAATAATTTTCGCCGAGTTATACGAATTCGTATTATATGAACCCGTGTTATAAGGGGTCTACTGTATGCATGCATTGATATATCCATTCTTCGAATTCCAAAAAATTTGACGTTCGAAAGCGAATAAAGTTAAAATGCAGAAGTTCCAGCAAAGCACATTTGGAAAACATGCTGTAAAACATTGTCTTTAATTAACATAAGAAGTAATATCCTGGCATAATTGTCAGAGGAGGATTTTATTCATTTTGCATTTTATTGAGGAGGTGTATTCTCAAAAGAAAAGTCGTGTCTTTAACTGTAAATTGTTTTTGGAAATCAGTGGTGTTTGTAACGACAGAAGACGAATACAATTTTGTAGCTTCGGTAAATTTTATTTATATATATTTTAATGTAAATACTGTCAGCCAAAATTTAACTTTAATGATGTAATATGCTCTTTTGCAGTTTCTGCCCTTGGGCGTACATTTTCATTTTTAACTTTAGTTCAGCAGGCCTAAAATGGAGAGTTTATATGTATATGCCAACGCGACAAGCGAACGATTTCCGGACAGAGAATGCCTTTACGGAGATCTTTTATGAAAAATTTACCAGAACTTTTTAGGTATTATTAACATGAAAATAAAGAAAATGCAAAAACCTCCAAGTGTCTAGACCATGACAAAGGGCAATCTCACGACAATCTACAGTGTTTAGTAGTTTTGTGTACATGGCCACTGGTGGGACTTCTAAAATGGAGAGACAAGATGATGAGAGGCTGAATGACATACACTTCACATAGAAAATTCCTAGAGGGTTTCTTTTCAAGATTCGTTGTCGAGACTTCCTGAACATTAAGGAGACGTTTTAACCAGCCATTCACTCTTGGATACATCTGAAAATCTAGGGCCGATAATTTTTGTCTAAATTGATGTAGAATTGAATAATTTACCAAAAGACCATTTTTTCAGTTGTTAATCAAGGCGGAACGTCCTTTCGTTTTTTGAAGGAATTTCTTGTCATTTCTGAGGAGAAATATTAGCTTTGATATCAATTCTACGTGAAATATCCTTGTTTGTTGCTTCTTTCTTCATGTGACCCTAGTTGTCCTCGGTGATAGGACAATTAAAATGAAATAGATAGGGCCCAACATGATAGAAGACGCACGGAAAACCAGTTGATAAGGCTGAAGTATGAACACTTTTTTTCCTAGTTGTTTTCCATCCTCTAACATCAACATTAGACGATCAAAAAAGATAAGAAATATTGCTAATGAAAATAACTTTTAAAGAAATATAAGAGGTATAAATTTTAATATTGATCTTTCTTATTAGTTAAAAAGTACATTCAAGGAATTATCTTAGTCTTTCTCAAATATACTAAACGTAATTTTATTGTCACTGATTTTGATATATAGTTCGTTCATTAGCATTAATGTTCATTTCGATTTGTAAATTTTTGTTTAGTGTTAATAAAGTTTAATATTATTCAGATATCGAGTACCTTTGATAAACTTTTAGTCTAATTCCGTTGTCGGTCATATGCGTTTTTGATAATCCAGAAGGGACTCTAAAAATTTGAGTTATATAAATTTTTACCCTAAGAAAACTTAATTAAATAATTTACTTTAATTTCACTTAGAAATATCTGAAAATGCTTAAAAAGGATAAAAAAAAGNATTGTTACTTAGCACTTCCATTGTTACTTAGCACTTCCATTGTTGATGGAAGTGTTAAGCCTTAATCCTGTCCCTCTCCCCCGTGGGGAGGAATTTCGAAAAATCCCTTCTTAGTGTGTGTTTTCGTGACGTACCCTATCTGTGTACCAAATTTCAATTTTCAACTCCTAACCGTTTGGGCTCTGTGCTGATTATTATTATTATCATCTCGTCTCGATTATATATATAGATATCAAAAAGCATTACATTATAAAGGACAGATAGGGACTAAGAATTTTTGTTTTTTAACTTTTCTTTTACAAAGAACTTCCATGCCGAAGCTAAACCACCAGCATCCCTTACATTGATACAGCCGTCCCTTAGTTTACTCTTATAAATTTCAATCTTTTCATGTTGCAAAGCCAACAATTGGAACCGCACAGTTTTTAGAATAGATGCTTCATTCCATTTTACTAATGAAACCTCCGCTTGTGCCATACTTGACAAAACCGTGGTACAGTGTCCCTTACTAATGTCATATCTGTATTCTTTAAGCATACTAGCCAAATTCCGTCTAGTGACTCCAATATAGTCCTTCATAATTCCTAGGTGTTGGTTTTTAAAGGGAATTTTATACACGCTTGCAGTTTCTTCTTTCTTAAGCCTATCCTTGTCGTTTCTGAGAATACTATACAAATTAGGACCTTTTTTGTAAACAATTTTGGAGTGTCTTTTGTCTGAAACTTGCTTCATGATGTTTCTGAAGTGTTTATTATATGTGAATTTGGTGATCTTAAATTGATCTGTTCCGGTCCTTAACCTCTCGCCTCTTTCATAACTTTTAATTAGCCCTTCAATTGTACTTTTGCGGTAACCCAATTTTGAAGCTACTTCCTCGATTCTGTCAATCTCTTTAATCCTGTCTAATACATTAGAGCAATAAGTAAACGCTCTTCTAATGAGTGCACGAAATGCTGACATTTTATACCCATATGGATCATTCGTGTTAGCTGGTATGTAGAGAGGACTGTGCGTAGGTTTTATGTAAATGCTCCTTGTTATGCAATCTCCTTTTAATTGTATGTCAATATCCAGAAAATGTATTCGTTCGTGACTCTTCTGCTCTAGTTTCAGTTTCAAACCATCATTGTTGGTGCTGTTAACAGCATGTAGGAACTCGTGTATTCTTTCGCCCTTTCTCCAGATAACGCACACATCGTCCACATATCCTTTGTAAAATACAATATCCTTTTTCAAGCTATTAACAACGTGCTTTTCTAAACTGTGTAAAACCAGTTCGCATAACAACCCTGACATTAGGTTTCCCATAGGTACGCGTTTCATCTGTCTATATACTGCTTATCATAGCTGAAGAAGGACTCATATCAACCTGGCTAATTCCTTCAAATCATTCACAAACGCACAACGGTTTTATGCGGAGCATAAATTCGATTAAAGGTTCGTAACAGGATTCTATCTTTACCGATGGATGCAGGCTTTCAAAATCCATAACGGACACAACCTCTTCATCCATTAAACTTAACTCTTGTAACTCTTTAACGACATTGGTCGGGTATATGCAACAAGATCACTGTTAAATTGATCTGAAATAAAACCATGTAAACGTTTTTCCAAAATGTATGTGAGCCAAAATACATTTCTCCACCACGGGTCTGACCTCTTTGCCTCCCTTATGTATTTTTGCAAAGGCAAATATTCTTGGAATTGCTGGGTTCGGGTTATGATATCGTTTAAGAAAAGTTAATGCGGAGAGTAATGGAGCCGTTTAAGTTTTTATATTCTTTTATCTACGTTTGTGACAATGTTTTTATTTACCTTTTTTATTAACAAAGCCTTGGAAGAATACATTAGAAAAACAGAATGTGAGCAGGTAAATAAAAACGTAGACAAAAGAGTAAAAAAACTTGAACGAGCTCAATTAGGCTCTACATTAAATAAAAACTTTTCATAACTAATTTAAATATGAATAATAAATTATATTTTTAGCGCTTTGTTACAGATTACAATATAAACTTCAAAGATATTTTATTGAATTTTGTTCTCAAAATTATTTATTGTCACATATAGGCTTAGCCAAACGTTATTATGGGAATGTGTAAGAAAAAAATGTTTTCGTCATATTATTTGTTTTACTTTTGCTTTTTTTTATTTACGTCTAATTTATAATATTTTTTTCTAATAAATATTTAATTCTTTTTCATATTATTGTACGAAATCCTACTTAGGTTCTCGAGACCCAATTCTCGTTCAAGTATAACTTTACAATTTTGAAAATGGGGGTGAGAAGGAAATCATACCAACACAAATCTTAACAACTTGGAAATCATATGACGATTCTCCCAGATAAGCCAAAAACTGTCATATATGAATGCGTGATTGCTCGAAACAATAAATAATAGGTAAAATAAGCGAAAGATTCCATAAACTTCTCACGATTGACTCTAACAAACTCTCAGTTAAGTTGACAGTTTATCTGGCTTTTAATTAGATGATCTAAACTTGTCCAGAATAATAATTAAAAAAATTTTCCACTTGATTATTCTTTCGATATCGAAACCAGTATTGCGCATTTGTAAAACAAACTATCGTATCCCGTGATGTACCGTACATTTGATAAAGTTCTGTCTTTTCTAATTTTTTTTACTCTTTCTGCCGTGTCAGCACTAAGAGGGCCTCTTATGGGTTCGGCCAGGCCCACAATGGGGCGACTGGGTGGTGAGGGACGGGGCCCAACATATCCGAACGGACCACCCCCAAAAAATCACTGGTTATTCCTCGACCCGTCCGGATTCGATTCCGGGTACTCCAAGAGCAGTAGGTTGCCACCCTGACCGCGCGGCCATCCGGCCATTGTCTTTTCTAATTAATGAATTATACATTTCATATTTACTGTATGTTTGGCAGCTACCTTTCGAAGCTAGAAATGATTTTTCATTTTTCAGCTTTCATATTAGAATATTTGATTGAATTGTTTCCCACCACAATTGTAGGTGTCCAGGAACCATATTTTATTGAATCATGAACTGAGTATGCTTATATATATGTGTGTGTGTGTGTGTGTGTGTTATTAGTATTAATATGAGTATCAATTTCTATTTACTTCAACTTCTTATCATATTCCTAGCATTTGGATTTAAGCTACTTATTTTTCATTTTTATCATCACAAATATGATAAAATGTTTTTCATTTATCCCATCTCCCATCTTTACAAATTTTAAAATATTTATCGTACATGAACTCAATGTTACGAATACAGCAACTTTCCATAAATTCCTGAAGAATGTGTTATGTTGTTTGCTGTGTTCTTGTGACAGCGTCGCTCGATTATTTATTAAAATAAGCTTCGGTTGTGTGGCTGCAGAATACCTAATATATTGTAGAAACCTTAATAATTGCAGCCATCATTTTGTCGCGTAACCCTTTGCATTTAATTGTATGCAAACTCTGTTGTTCCTAACAAATCGCAGAAATTTATTCAATATTCCTAAGAAATTTGTTTTAATGTTTTCCATGAGTGCCAGTGTAATTACAGTTCGTGAAAAGCTAATGTTTTCCTCGGAGTAAACCACAGCAGCACGTGTACCAGCACTGTACTGGGTTGTTTTTTTGGTGGCAGTTGGCAGACTGGTTGGAAAATTGTTTTTTGTAGTGTCGACTAGTTGTTTATTTTCGTGTCAATCATTGAGCCAAATCACTCATAAACTTCCTTTTCAATTTTCTGACCGTCTTTGAAAGATTTCTGCCTTGCGTTGTCGAGTATCGAGTATCCAGATCGTTATCAGAGCAGCTAGAGAAAAACAGACAGTTTTGTCAGCTAAAATAAGACTGTTGGCAGCTTCAGGAATTTTAGAACTGTATACCTTGCATATAGCAGTGCTTCCATCTTTTCCACAGTTAGCCAAAATTATGGGCAGAAACTCCTATAATTTAATGCTAGCTAATTAGTCATCTACACCGAATTCCTCAGCCCCAGACAACCAGTACAAGAAGTGGACATCAAGATCTAACCAACTAGGTTATACCTTGCTAACTAAAGACTACTAAACTAACTTAGGGGAGACCGGGGCAACTTCGGCATGCGGGGCAAGTTTGTCAAGCGCTTTTTTTTAAAAACAAATTAAAAGGAGACTTTGGTTATAGGTTAGGCAGTTGAGTTTTATTGGTGGCTTGTTGAGTGTAGTGTTTTTATTGTTCTCCAACAAGCGTAGTTGAATTATCAAGCAAATTTTCATTTTCGTTCAATTCCATATAATATTTTTTTTCCATTTATATTGAATTGGCAGGTTTTGTTATAATTCCATGATAACGAAAGTTACTTTTCCTGTTAGAAGGATGTAACTTCAACTTATTCACGTGGCCAGATCGTGGCTTGGCATTCTGTTCTCAGGGTTGTACTTAATGTTTCGAAATCATGACTAGCGGGGTAAGATCGGCAACATAAAGCCACATTAGAAGCAAAGGATAAAAATCAAACAGATGATAAATGAAAACATGTTTGCATTTGTTATTCATGTATATATGTCTTTGAACTTGCATTTCGTTGTAATAATATTAAATGGGTGTTGGATTTGTATTTCTTTGTTTTAATAGTGAATTCCAACTTATACATTGTTAATAACATAATTTTATATACGTGCCTATCTTGCCCCATTACTGTTGCCCCTATACCAGGGGCAACTTTAATAAAAATAATTAAAATAATTACAACTTTACAAAAAGAGAGAAGTTGCCGATCTTGCCCCTATACCCGGGGCAACTTCGTCAATTTCTCTCTTCTTGTAAAGTTGTAATTATTTTAATTATTTTTATTTCCAAACTGATTTTAACCAGTTCTATAGTAAGGTAACATTCCAATAGACAATATGCAAAGCTTTTTTTTCAGTTTACAGCGGTATTTATTACACAAAATTTAAGTAAAGCTTAACATGCCGATCTTGCCCCGGTCTCCCCTAATATAACATAAAAACCTCAAAAACAATGAGCAAAAAAGCGAAAAATAGCAGAAACTAAAAATACTGCAGTGTGGATACGAAACTAATGCAATGCTGCTATCCAAACAGGAAGTAGCCGATAACTCAATAAGGAAATGAGCATTTAAGACGAAAACTAACAGGAAATAACTTACATTTAACTTTCTTACTAAACACAGAAAACTGTATCTAACCTAACCTAAGAAAACTCTGATTTATTAAGCTACTAATGCCCCAAGGAAAATACTTAGTCTAATTTATTGAAGATACTAGTTTACATCAACCAAAACAAAAGATAAAAACTAATTCTACGAGTACAAGCGGAGATCATAATAGAGAGGTTGATGCGCACGTTTTAAACGTGTAAACGTGTACGTGTGACGTTCGGCGCCTCTTTCCCGTAAGCCTAAAAGTTTCACAATGGTGTTTGGATAGTCGGTGGAATCACTCTCGACACCATCGTCACACTTTTAGGCTTACGGGAAAGCGGCGCCGAACGTCACACGTACACGTTTACACGTTGAAAACGTGCGCCTCAACCTCTCTAATAACTTGAATTTAAATAAAAAATCGACAAGTTTCTGCTAGGTCTACACACTTGTAAAAGAGAAACCATCTAAGCAAAATTGAAGAATCAACTATCAGTCGACTCCAGTAATAACTAATAAACCAGTAATAAATAATAACCAGTAATAACTAATAAACACAAAACAGAATGAAAACCACGGAAATTTTTGTGTGTACCGTTTCGTACCGCCCGCCCAACTTATCTTCATCAAAGAAAAACTAATAAGAGATTTTCCCCTTTATAAAAGTTGTTGTAACATTTTACATGGCGCAATTGTTTATATCTCAATTGTTTTGGTTTGGATTATTGCTTTTCAACTACCACTAACTATTTTATATACGAAAGTAATTTATACAGATTAGCCGTTTATGGTAAGGGGTGTTTAGAAGGTAAACTGACGTAATTTTGTTTTAAAATTATTGACATACGACACAGATAATGTATCAATCTGAACATTTAAATAGAGTAGACCCCCTATAACAGGGTAGATATGTTCCGTTTTATATGAATTCTGTGTTTTACGAGTCACTTAAATATATGAGCCAATCACAGACCGGCACGTGTGCAGTTTAGGGACTACGGCTGTTTGAAAGGTTTTCTTTTATAAAATTACTCGATTCTAGACTAATTTAACTCAACATTTCCAAATCACGTATAATTTTTTGGGAATAATCCATATAAACTATGCTATAAACAAACAATTGTAGGATTACTTACCGAGTGCACACCGTTCGACGACACCATTGCTTAAGCTTGT